CCCCCCACAGGAGCCGCCACGACCCGTACGAGCGCTCGTCGTACCGCCGCACGCCCTCGCCGCCGCCCTCGTACCGCCGCCGCGACTCTCGCTCGCACGGCTGCGACGCCTGCGACGCCTACGAGCGCGCGTATCGCCGCCCTTCGCACCGCGACAGGACGCCCTCGCCGCACGCCCGCCGCGATGAACACTCTCGCCGCTCTCGCCACTGAAACCCAAGGGTAGAGGGCACTGCTTGTAGTCTTGGTCATTTCGAGTAGGGTAAACGTACGTAAGAGAGAAGCTAAGCGCACGAGGAGAGAGGAAGGGGGGCTACACAAGATGGAAGAAGAGGCGCGCTTAGAGCTCCTTGTGGACGAGGCTCGAGGCGCTCTTGCTCGCCTCGGAGAGCTTGCTGCTGAGGCTACGACTGACCTCGGAAGCCGAGTGCTCGGCCAGCTTGCTGACGACGCTGGCGGTGGACGAGGCGTGCTTCTTGTCGAGTCCGGCAGAGGTCGCGCTCGCGTAGGCCGAGGACGAGACATGCGAGGCGCCCTTGCGAGCCGAGGCAGAGGCGGACGAGTACGCGGACGAGAGCGACTTGGAGAGCGACGAGGCGGAGGCGGAAGCCGAGGTAAGGTAGACGTGGTAGGCCGACGAAGCCGAGGCCGAGAGGCGGGAGGCTGTCCCGAGTTTAAGCGAACGTCAGCACGGACAGCACGTCGAGAAAGAGACGCTTTGCACGCACCGCTCTTCTCGGCGACGGATCCAGCGGACGAGGCCGACTTGGAGATGACGCTCGGGTCGTACCCGGCGGCCTTCATCTGGCTCGAGACGCTCTTCGAGGCCACGGACGAGGCGGACGAAACGCTCTTGCTAGCCTGGTGGAAGGCCGACTCGAGCGAGTGGCTGGCGACGACACTCGCGGACGAAGCGCTCTTGCTCGCCTGGTCCGTGAACGAAGTGTACGACTTGTGCGCCTTGTCCGCTGCCGAGGTAGCCGAAGCGTACGCGACGTCGCCTGCCGAGGAAGCCGAGCGCGAGATCTGCGACGGCGCGACTCCCTGGCGCGAGAGCTCCGACTCGATCGACTTGCTGGCGTGGTACGAAGCCGACGAGGCCGACTTGGTCGCCTCGACGTAAAGCGAACTGAGTGAGCGCTCGGCGTGCGATGCGTACGATGCGGCGCTCTTGCTCGCTGCAGCCGAGGCGCTCAAGAGGCTCGCCGAGGCTTGAGCGGCGGCGGAAGACGCACTCGAGGCGGCGACGTTTCCTGCGCTGGTGGCCGAGGCGTAGATGGCGGTCGGAACGGCACCGGCCGCACGGGCACTCTTGACTGCTTCGGCGGAGGCGACGCTCGAGGCGGATGAGGCCGAGTGGAGGGCGACCGAGTAGAGGGACGAGGCGGACGACAAGCCTTGGTCCCAGACGGAGCGGGCCGAGGCAGACGCCTCGAGGACGCCGGAGGAGACGCTAGCCTTGGCGCGGTCGGTCGCCGAGACAGCCGAGCGCGAGGCGTGGGAGGCGAGGGACTCGCCGCTCCTCGAAGCCTGCGAGGCGTATCCCTCTGCCGTCTTGCTCGAATCGCCATACAAGCTCGAAGCCTGCTGCTCGCCATACTTGGCCTTGAGACGAGCTTCCTCGGCCGCACCGCCGACAACGCCCGAAGCTGATCCGACAATGTTGCGGAGGAGGTCGGCGGCGTTTCCGAGTTGGCCCTTGATCTGGTCGATGATGTGAAGGCCGCCCGATTGCGTCGAGACGTAGTTATCGTGCATCCTCTGGAGGAGCTCTTGGCGGGAGGTGCGCATAGGGACGGGGACGCCGTGGTCGCGAAGCCAGCCGCGGATGCGAGCGTCCGACCACGAGACGTACTCGGTCGACTTGTTGGCGACCTTGGTGTAGTGCTTGTTGAACTCGGCCTCGATCTGTGGGGGCGTGCGAGGGGGCGTCAGTGTCGGAAGCGGGAGAGTGACGAAGCGCCTAAGTCAAGTCGGCTCGCGAAAGCCAAGTCGCCGCAACTCACCTCCTCCTTCTTCTTCTGCGCATCGCTCTTCAACACCCCATGCTTAACCAACCAGCCCCTCATACTCTTCTCGTCCCAACTCCCCGCAATCGCATCCCTCGTCTTGCCATAGTTGTCGCTCGCGAGTTTCTCAAGGTCGTGGCGACGGAGCGACTTGCCCGTGACGGCGTTGACGAGTTTCTCCTTGGTCGCCCAGGCGAGAAGTTCGGCGTCGGACCAGGTGGACCAGATGTAGGACGAGGCGTCGTAGTCTGCTCACACGCCCACCTCACAGCTCGTCAGCCCACCGCTCACCCTCACCCACCCAAGCGAGAGAGAGGGAGAAAAAAACGCACAGTACTCCTTGACCAACCTGACAAGATCATTCCTCATGGCGTCCTTCTCATACTGGACCTTGTTCTTGTCCAAATACGCACGCAACATGCTCTCGTCCCAAGCCGAGTAAGCCTGGTCCCTGAGCTTCCAGTAGTTGCTCGCGATCAAGTTGCGGAGTCTGCTGCGAGTCGTCGGTCAGCGCGGGGAGTAGGGACGCGAGGAGAGGAGAGGGGGGACGAACTCGGAGGCGGTCTTGGTCTCGTTGGGCTTGACCAGACCACGGGATTCGAGCCAGCGACGGACGGCAGAGTCGGACCAGTACTCGTACGCTGCGCGGGCGCACGGAGAATGAGTAGATCAGTCGCGCAAGTTCGGGATTGAGAAGGCCAAGCAGGAGGAGGGAAGTGAGGAACGCACTGGTGTCGCGCGCGCCGTAGTAGTTCTTGCTCATCAGGTCGAGCAACTCGTCACGCGTGTTGGCCGTCTTGCTCTTGACGACGCCGTGGCGCTGAAGCCAGTTGCGCTGCGGGCGGGCGTCAAGGTCAGTTCAGAGTCGGCGGGAGGAGCGTGAGGAGCTCGCACGCACGAGGTAGCTGTCGGACCAGGCCTCGTAGACGTGACTCGTCGCATCGCTGTAGGGCTTGCGAACGAGGTCGAGGAGCTCGTCGCGGCGCTTCTTCTCCTCGGGCTTGACGAGCCCTTTGCTGACCGCCCACGAGTGCAAGTCCGAGTCGGTCCAGGTCGAGTAGACATAGTCGCGGGTGTCTTCGAGCTTGCCCGCGACGTAGTCGTAAGCCTGGGCGGGCCCGTCGACGACGGCGTAGAATGCGGCCGAGGTGTTCTCGGCGACGGCGTGCGCGGCGTCGGCTGCGGCGTCGGTGGTGCGAGCCCACGCCGACTCGGCCGTCTTGCTCGCCTCGAGTCCGTACTCCCTCGCGAGCTGGACGAGTTCCTCGCGCTTGAAAGAGGGCGAGATGACGCCCTTGTCGAGGAGGAACTGGCGCAACTGCGAGTCACTCCAGGTGTCGTACGCGCCGTCGCGTGCGTCCTGCAAGACGTGCTGTGCGCCGCGCTTGACGTTGGAGGCCTGCTGGTCGTAGTGACGTGCTGCGAGTTCGCGGAGCTGTTCCGTGTTGAGGTTGCCTGGGTTCGGGATGTGGTGGTCCTGGAGGTAACGCTTGAGGTCTGACTGTCCCCAGTCTGCGTAGGGGGGAGGGGCAGCGTCTGCGAGGACGTGGACGATGCCGGATGCGATGAGGACCGCGTAGAATGTCGCCGGGAGCTTCATCTGCGACGGGACAAAGACAGGGTGAGTCGGGGTGGGTCTGGGGAGTGGATGGAGAGAGTGTGCTTGCTGTTGAGAGTGTGCCAGGTGGAGAACTGGCTTGAAGGGGAGAGAGAGAGAGAGTCGAGCGTGAGTTTGGTTTCCTCGCGACGTCAGCGACACCGCCTCGCCCCCCTCGATCACCCTTTTGTATTCTTCGATTACAACTCAGTTTTGTATTCATCCAACAATACAACTCAACTCACTCAACTTCAACACCCAGCAATGCCACCCGTCTACGGCGGAGCACCAAAGTCAGTTCACAGCACTCTCTCTCATTCGAGCCAGCCTCACCCCTCAACGCCGTGCTCACCCTCTCCTCGTCGACTGCCGACTCACGCACTCGCTCGCACGCGCAGGTGCCCGACGTGCGGCAAGGCAGTCTACTTTGCAGAGCAGGTCATCGGGCCACAGGGCAGCGTGCGTTACTCAACCCTCCTCTCGCTCCCTCACAGCTGCCGACTGCCGCGAAACGAACGCCGAGCAGACACCCCTCCATCTCGGACTGACGCAGGTCTACGACGTGCGCAGTACCACAAGGCGTGTCTCAAGTGCGTCGCGTGCGGCAAGTCGCTCGAGCCGAGGTTGCTGCTGGATCACGACGGCCGGGTGCGTGCAGCGGAGCGGTCCTCCTTCCTTCGGCTTGGTCTCGGGATGCTGAAGGGTGAGCTGATAAAGAGTGACCTTCGCGTACGCAGGCTTATTGCAAGTCCTGTCACGGCAAGGCGTTTGGCGCAAAGGGCTACGGCGCAGGTTTGTCTCCTCCTTCCGCTCACGTTCCCTTCTCCTCCGGCTCGTGCTGACAGGTTGAACCTGTCTTTGCAGGCGGCGCACTCGTAGGCGAATACGCACCCCGCCCTTCTCCCACACCTACCAGTTCTCCGATTCGTCCCTCGGCAACTACCGCAGCTCCTCCCCAACCCGTGCAATCACCAACTCCCGCCGCTCGACCTGTTCCTTCCCTCCCTACTCCTACAGAACAAGCAGCGGGGACAGCTCGACGACCGCTCCCTACGCCGCCTGTTGCGCCGCCTAAACCGGCTTCAATATTCGCCTCAACTTCGAGATCTGCCGCGGGTCCGCCTCCTCCGACTCCTCCTCGACCTGCCTCTTTCCAGCCCACTCCAACCCC